AAATGTTTTATATTGCAAGTGATTATGAATACTAATCAAACCCCTATAGTACGCAGTTCTTTCTTCTCCTTCATATATAGTCTCCACAGAGCCCCACCATATGCCCTGCCATACAGCTACAGAACTTTTTTGAGTAGAGTGTGAGCATATCTCCTGAGCCCTCACTCTATAGATGAAGAGCATAGATACCCCACTCTCTCTAACTTCCTCTCTCCACTCTGCTGAAGGAGGCATGAAAGCATCTTGTCCCCTTTTCTCTGTTAAATCAGGCAAACAAAAATAAAGTACACTCAGCTAAAGCCTGCAACACCTTTAAGATCTTCTCAAAAAGGATCCAAAAGGATTTTAAGACGCTGTTTCAGATGCTGCTCTTGCACCTTCTCCTAAGAAAGTGTCTCCAGCCATGAGTAGTATGGCCTTCAGTGCCTCCCTGTGAGCTTAAGCCTGTTGTAAAAACTGAGTTGGAAAGAGGTCACCTTGTAAAGCCCCACCATGAGGAAACAACAGAATCAGTTCCAAAGATCAGAGTTCAGCAGATGAAGCCAAGGAAAGACCCTCTTTCATTGCAAGATGCCTCAGAGGAAAGGAAAGGTGCTTCACCAAAGAGTTTAACCCCAGATCCTGGTGTGTGCAGCTTCCCTACACCCAGGGGTTGTAGAACATCCTAGTAATTGTGGGTTCAAATCAGTTATCTGCATTGGGGCAATGATATTTGGCCTAATAGACCTTGGTTCCTTTTTTTGAGCATTTTCTGATTTAATTCTTCCAGTGAAGTCACATGCTTCGGTGCCTATCACTATTGCTCACTGAAAAACAAGAAGGAAGTATTTACTTGTAACAGGGAGATTACCCTGTATTACAGCTTTTACAGACTACCAGCAGCAGAGCTAGATAGAGCCCCTAAGTCACCTCAGAGGGAGATGCAAATGTGTAATTTTATAGGCTACTCCTGATCTTCGTAATCAAATATGCCTTATATATAGATAAATAAAATAAAATAAAATGTGTTGTGTTGTCTTTTTAGCTGAGCCACCAAGAATTCTGACTCCTGCTAATAAATTATATCAAGTCATTGCAAACAATCCTGCGTTGCTAGATTGTGCTTTTTTTGGTTCACCTGTGCCTGAAATTGAATGGTAAGTCATTGTGTATCGGTACTTCTGAAGAGGCATACACTTTCCTTGAAAGCAATCATTTAAATGTTTTTTGTTATTCTATATTTCTTTTTTTTATAAATAAAGTAGGGCGCTCTTTTTTTTAACATGCACTGATTACAATATTGATACATTTAATTAAATTACTGATAGTTTCCATTTTAAATTTCACTACATGGATTTACTTGACATCTGTATTTTCTTATCCAGTACTCGAAAATTTGCTTTTCTCACACTAGATATGATTGAATTAGTGCATGATATTGGATAATGATACAATTTTTAATATAAAGGTTTAAGGGAGTAAAAGGGAGCATCCTGCGTGGAGATCTTTATGTTTTCCATGACAATGGAACTCTGGAAATTCCTGTGGCACAAAAGGATAGTACTGGCACATATACCTGTGTAGCAAGGAATAAATTAGGAAAGGTACAAAATGAGGTTCATCTAGAAGTCAAAGGTAAGAAACCAATCATTGTTGTAAACCATTTTAATCACAGTTTAACCCAGAATTTCAAACAATTTAAATGTCTAATAGTAACTCTAAATTTCAGATCCAACAATGATTATTAAACAGCCTGAATACAAAATCATTCAAAGGGGTGGCCAGGTTTCCTTTGAGTGTACTATAAAGCACGATCCTACCTTAATACCAACTATTATGTGGTTGAAGGATAATGGTGAACTGCCAGATGATGAAAGGTACAGATAAATTATTTATTTTGTTTTTTGTACTTGTATTTTTAAATTCATTTTTGTTCATGTTTCTCCTGTTCATCTGAAATGTACAAGCCAACATATGTTGAGTAACTTCCACAAGAAGACTAATTAATAACAACATCAGACCCATGTTTGTCTTTGCCTAAAAGCCCATCCTAGTACAGTGGCAAAGTGAAGGCAGCAATTAGAAATGCAAAAGCAATATTTAACCAATGGAAAAAATGGAAAATAGCAATCAAAATAAATTAGAAGTCTGAATAGTAGAAATTTGATAAGGGAAGCTAAAGACATCAGGGACAAATCCATGGTTGGTGCTAAGAACAATAAGAAAGAGTTTTTAAAAGTATATTAGGAGCAAAAGAATTCATAGCAATGGTATATGCCCATTAATAGATAGAGATGATAAAATTGTTTGTGATGCAGGCAAGGCAGAAGTGGTCAATAAATATTTCTGATTCTGTATCTGGAAAGAAGCAGAATGATGTACTTGTATCACATCAGGATGATGAAGTAATTTCTAGTCCATTAATAACTAAGGACGTCATTAAACAACATCTGCTAGAAGTAAACATTTTAAACTGAATGGAAAAGTTGCACCCAGGAATCTTGAAAGTGCTGTGTGAGGAGATCTCTGGCCTGCTAATATTCATTTTATAAATCTTGAAATACAAGGGAAATTTCAGAAGACTGGAAGAGTGTTAATATTGTGCTGATATTCAAAACAAGCAAACAGGATGACCCAAATAACTATAGGCCAGTAAGCCTGACTTCAATCCTGGGGGAAATAATGGAAGAGCTGATAGAGGATTCAATTGATAAAAAATAGGCATATATAATTAATGCCAGTCAACATGGTTTTATGGAAAATGGATTATGTCAAACAAACTTGATTTCATTCTTGAATGAGATTACAATTTTGACTGATAAAATTAACTGTGTAGATGTAATAAACTTTTGTAAGACATTTGATTTAGTACATGACATTCTGAGTAAAAAAATAGCAGTATACAATATCAAGACAGCACATATTGAATGGGTTAAGAAAGGGCTAGCTGACAGATTTTTAAAAGTAGTTGTACATGGGGAGTCATCATCATGGTGGTGTTTCTAATGGGGTTTCTCAAGGATCACTTTTAGGTTTCATTCTATTTAACATTTTCATCAATAATCTGGAAGTAAATATAAAAACACTGCTAATGAAATTTACAGATGACACAAAGATTGGTGAAGTGATAAAAGGACAGACAGGACAGTCATACAGAGTGATCTGGATTGCTTGGTAATCTTCAAACAAGATGTGTTTTAATATAGCCAAATGCTAAATTATACATCTAAGAACAAGGAATGCAGACCAAATCTAGGGAATGGGGGACTTTATGCTGGAAAGCAGTGACTCTGAAAAATATCTTGGGGTCATAATGGACCCTCAGTTGAACATGAGCTTCCAGTGCGCTACTGCGGCAAAAAGGGCTAATGCAATCCTTGAATGTATAACCAGGGGAGTGGTGAGTAGGAGCAGGGAAGTGATTTGACTTCTGTATATGAGTTGGTGAGACTGGTACTGGAATACTGTATACAGTTCTGGTGTCCGCATTTTAATAAGTATGTTGAAAAATTGGAAAGGGTGCAGAAAAGAGCCACAAAAAATGTTTGAGGGCAGGAGAAAATGCCTCATAGTGTGTGACTGAGATCTGAATCTGTTTAGGTTTTCAAAAATAAGATTGAGAGATCCTTTGATTACAATGTATAAGTACTTTAACAGGTACTATAAGTACTTTTAAAAATACCTGGTACTATAAGGCTCTTTAATTTAGAAGAGAAAGGAATCCCAAGAACCAATGGCTGGAAGCTGATGCCCAACAAATTCCAATTACAAATAAGACACAAATTTTTAACAGTGGTAGTGATTAACTATTGGAACGAACCAAGGGAAATGAAGGATTCTCCTTCTCTTGGTGGCTTCCATTGAAGATTGGATGCCTTTCTGGAATATGTGCTTTGGCCAAACAAAGGTTATTGGGTTCAATACAGAGGTAACTGGATGAAATGTAAAGGCCTGTGGTATACAGGAGGTCATATTAGGTGAAGTTATGGTTCCTTCTGCTTGAAATTCTAAATCACCACAGAGAGAGTAATTTTTCTGTTCTTGATCCAGAAAACACTAGAGCTTTGTAATCATGTGGCCGACTTTAACAACTTGTATGAGAATGGAGGACTTTTCTGTTGAGAGCATCCTAGGCTAAAACTCTACATTTAACTGCAAGATAACTACTGTTAAATCATACTGGCAGATGGGTGGGAGAAGGAGCTTGGGAGCTAGGAGAGAGGAGGTCCTGTAGGGAAGCCCTAGCAACAGTCAAGCTTGGATAGTGTCCTTAGGCTGAAGTTTATATTATGCTAATGTTAACCTGCCAATACAGACAAATTCCACAAAGTAAGTTCTTTGTTCCAAAGTGAAAAGCATATCTTTGTATGGATTTGGTTGTGGTGGGGTCTGCCTATTAATGTTTCTAGCAGATTCTGTCAGTGTTTACCCTACATTCATGACCATGCATGGGTGAATCATTTCTAGGATCCCAAACGTGATTTGGGCAGAAACATTGAAAGGTTTTATTTAAAAAGTTAAGGCAAATAGTATATGCAAATATTCCACAATTAGGCATATTACACAAGTACACGTAAGACTTTGCAATTCACTTTCTATGAACTTTTATTCCAGTAAAACTGGATCAAACAAAGTGTTTGAAGAAAGCAGCTACAAAAGATTAGCAAACTCAGAATAAGTGAATTCATTATAAATCTGATCAGATGTTCACAGCTCTAGTTGTGTGTTTGTGATGTGTCCTGTCTTGTCTTTTGGAGGACATCAGTATCCTGTTGCAATGACAGTTAGGATTGAAGGCTTCTGCTAGCTTCTGAGTGGAAAAGCAACACTTTTTGGTGCTACACATTTGCAGATCAGAGGTCCGAATCAACTGCTAAGAGAGGTGTCATTCAGAAAAGAAAACACATTTGAATACTGATGTTACCTATTAGTGAAAATGTAGTTGTAGTGCAAATGTTGAAGATACATTAAGCCATGGAGATGTTGCTAGTACCCACAAAAATATTAAGCCATCATTAGGATTTGGTAATGTTTATACAGAACTTTATTATAACAATGAAAAATCCACGATTGACTGTATTGTTTACAGGTTTATTATTCATAAAGATAGTTTGGCCATTATGAATGTAACTGATAAGGATGATGGAACCTATACATGTGTAGCAAATACTACCCTGGACAGCGTTTCTGCAAGTGCCGTACTCACTGTTGTTGGTAAGATTGCTTTTAAAACGTTGTAAGGGCAAAGCTGTGTTTGTGTTGTATAAATTGTTAAAGCAGTATTAGATTTGATATGATGGACACTAATAGAGTTTGATAAAATAAAAACATCCCAATTCATATATGCTCTTTGGGCATTCAGTTCAATTTTAAGATAAAAAATAAATGATATTCAATCTTGCCTATATTGTCTGATATTTTTTAAGGTAGTGTATGAAGCAGAAGGTAAAATGTGAACCAGCCGTTCTCTTTTTTTTAACAGAAAGTAGTGTCTCCAATGGGACAAGGTCAGTCTCATAGTAGGTGGGATTTTACCTACGTTGCAGTTGACCAATGACTCTGCAGAGTATTTCAGCACCAACACCGGTTGTCTTGAGGTTCTTGTCAGCTTCTGCAGTTGTATTCTGCTTCAAACAAGTTGAACAATATGCTTGTTTAACTTTCACTCTTGCTTCCAGGATTTTTGTTAGACTAGTTTTCTTTCAGTTTAGCTAGGCTTCCTGTAATTAAGAAATAGCTATGAAGTCCACCAGCCAGGAACTGCTGGAGTGCAGTGTACTGTGGATATGCCTCCAGCGCATGCCTTCTGCTGCCTGGGGACACCAATTGTGGGGGGAATCAATACCCACATAAGGAGATCCTGCTGCTTACCAGCACTCATGTTCAGCTCAGGATCAGTCCCCAGGAGTTTAAACTCTTCTATTAGATATTGGCTCTGCTCACTGAGTGTTTGAGAAGGCAGCCCTACTTCCTTTATTTCTCTAACCAGCTTTACTTCAGTCCAGTATCTCTCCTCTCCCTCCTTGTAAGTATCTTTTCAATATATAGTCTGTGTGATTCTTAGCTAGAGAAGCTAGCAGGAGTCTCAAACCAAAATCTACGGGTGCTCTAACATTCTACAGTGGTTTTCATAACTGTTCAAGGGTGAGAGAAGCAAAATGCCAGTTTTAGTTGTTATTGACCTTGTCCATATGAAAAATAAGGGTAAAAACATTTGTCTAGTTTGTGTACGAGTCTTTTACTATATTTATTTTCTTGATTTAATTTTTCATGTGAAAAAAATTGGTTACTTTATCTTTCTTGCAAAAAAATAAAAAATTATCAATGCATGATTTAAAATTGACCATTTCTTGTAGCAAAAATAACTTTACTTTATTATCTCTAACAAATGTAATCTTTAACTATGTGTAAAATCATGTTTCTTTGGCTACTAATTTTGATTAAATCCTTTATATTAATGTCCTTTTCAGCTGCTACCCCAACTCCAGCTATCATTTACGGTAAACTAATACAAAATCTGTCTGCATCATCTGCCAAACATATTTCACACTTTTGCCTCTTGCAAATTGTGTCCTCTTTGTTTTTGTTTTTTCCGTTTCATGCCTTTTTACCAACTTTTTTTTTAAAGCAGAAGAGAATTCTGTGCAATCATACCATTTTCTTATTAGCTATTTGTTAAAACTGTTTCATTACTATAGTATTAGCCTTTGGAATTTTACACGAAGGCTATTTTAAATTATTTGGGAGTATACAATTTATAGAAAATGAAGTTTTTAAACAATTTTTTAAATTTATTGTTTACAGTATTATTAACTTTCTTCATACTAAGTACAGTAATGCAATATAGTTTCTGTAATAATTTGTAATACAGAACAAATACTGGAAAAACAAAGTTCAGCAGTGTCCTGAAAGCCCACATCAAAAACAAGTATAGGTCTGATCTTGCATCATTTAAATTAGAGGGAGTTTTGCTGTTGACTTCATTGAGGGAAGCATCAAGGCCTTTAATTCTAGCTTCCACAGTGCAGAAGCGGAAGCTAACGAACCCTGAAAATCTAATTGTAGCAGTTTACATGGCCCTAGATAGGTATTTGCAATGTCAAAAGGCATCCTGTTTTCTCAGTGGAAAGGCGTCCTTAAAAGTGGCCAAAGAATTGGTCTCATAAATGTCTTGATTTTATTCCATGCTGGAAATGAAATCAGACTTTATTACCAAGGTTCTTTTCTGCTTCTCATTAACATTTTACATGAATTTTAATGTTATGGCATAAGAGTGCCTAGATTTTAATCTTTTACAATATCCTGAATAAGGCGTTTAGTTTACTATCATATTCTTTGAATTTGCGATGCAAGGCAAAATATGGTACTATGGACATGATACTGCAAACACTTAAAAATGTGAGTAACTTTATTCACTTTAATGAGTCCCATTGACCTCAATGGAACTACTCCGGTCTTTCATTAATTATTAATATAATGAATGATTGTCAGCAATTTTGGATGAACAATTTCATAATTATGCATTCAGAGTATTGTATATTAACAGTTTAGTTTATATTTTCAGGCTTCTTAAAATGTGTAGGTTAAAAGTAAAATGTCTTTGTTTTTCTTATTGCAGAGCATCTTTCTTAAATTGACGCATGAAATATTTGTAGTAATTCTGAAACAGTTTCTTTTTAATATCTGCGCTTCTTTATTTTCCATGACTAAAGATTTTATTTCATATATAATAGTTAGCTTCTCATAGTCATTAGTCATTAACTGAACGTGATGCTGAACCATGCATTTCATATTTCTTTGCTTTTCGTTACGGTAGCTTTTATATTGCAAAACAATCAAGCATAGAGTTTCCATCAGTAGTATTTGCTTGTTACAAATGTATTTAGAAAGTTCCCAGCAACATCAGTTCTTATCCATTCCATTCCAATTGCATGCAAATGGCCACTAAATCATATCTGCATAATGAAAGTAGATCTCTTTATTGTGCTTTCGGAAAAGTTTTGGTTGAAATGTGAGAATTGTTGCCAGGAAGAAACTCTTTAATCTGTTTTATTTAGTGACTACTGTATGTATTTATTTGACTTACAGATCGTCCAAATCCACCCTTTGATTTAGAATTAACAGATCAGCTAGAAAGAAGCATACAGCTGTCCTGGATACCAGGCTATGACAATAACAGCCCCATTACAAGTATGTTTGGTTATATTTACTGGAACAAAAATTCATTGTTTTAATTTTTCAGATTCCAAAGAGTTTTGAAATATAACTTTGTGTAGTAAGATTAGCAAATACATTCTTTCATTGTTATTATTATTTACCAGTATTACAGTGGTGCCCAAAACATGTTGCATGGTATTCAAACATATGGAAGGACACATTCCCTGCCCCAGAGAGTTCAGTCAAAAGCCCCTAATCCTGCAGTCCCAACCAGTAGCACAGACGCTTGAATCCATGTGAAACCCCTTTTAAGGGCTCAGTCCTGCAAATACATACAGGAGTAAATTTTTAATCACATGTGTAGCCCCATTGTAATAAAGTTACTCCCATACATTTTTTGAAATCTTAAAATCTTAAACTAACCTGACCGTGCGACAGTTGAATTTGAAAGCTCATTGGCAGCAATATCTTTGTGTTATTAATCTTTGTTGACAGAAAGGCTTTAACTTCCTCAAAATTATAAACCAGATGGTTTTTCTGATCTTTTCAAAGCCAGACTTTTGACAGAAATAAACATATTTTGGGCCCCGGAAGCAGTTCATTCAGGCCTAGTGCTTGGGGTGTGCTCTCCAGTCCAGTCTCTATTCCAGCAAACAGGAGCTTGCAGGTTTCCAGGCCAGGCTCTGTTTGTGTCTCTCATTGGGGCCCTTCTGCACTGGCTCCCTCCCCAGCCAAAGCTGCTCCCCCATAAGTCCCACACAGTTTGCACTCAGCTGTAACGTCCAGCAGTCACAGCCTGTTCCACACATGGAGCTGTGTTCAGTTCCCACAGTTTCCTCTCTGCATCCGATTTCACTGCCGCTCCTGGCTTGGCAAGCAGCCACTGCTTCCCAGTTGAGCCCGGCCACTTCCTCATTCAGGACCCTTTCCCTTACCTGGCCAGGAGAAAGGGGATATGCAGTGGGGAGTGCTGACGGGAGTTATAATCCCTGCTTAGCAGGTCCATCACACTACATACACAATTTCAAATGTTTTCTCTCAGTGCTTATTTCTGTTCTGAAACTTCATCTATTGTTTCTTTCTCTCAGTATGGTGTTTCTAAGGCTCCTGTTTTGGCAGTATCCAAGCAGCTAAGACAGTTACAATAGAATTATGCTTACTTACAGTTAGAATGCCAAAGAGTAATGTTTCCATTACATTTCTTGCTAAGGACTGCTTGTTCAGTTTGTTCTCTAACTTATTTATTATAATTTCAACTTTATTTTAAAAATATTTAGTGTAGACTGGATTGCTGACTTATGATTATTTCATTCATAAATGACTGTGCTAGTCTCTGATGCCTAGGAATGTTATAGTTCTGACGTATAATTGAACTCAATTTTTGTTGACAGATTTTGTCATTGAATATGAAGATGGAATGCATGAACCAGGGGTATGGCATTACCAGGCAGAAGTCCGTGGGACTCAGACAACTGTACAGTTAAAGCTGTCTCCATATGTTAACTATTCATTCCGTGTAATAGCTGTCAATGAGATTGGTAGAAGTCAGCCAAGTGAAGCATCTGAACAATACCTAACAAAAGCTGCAAGTAAATAAACACTACCATTTACCAGTAATCAATTTACTCTTTAGATGCCATTGAATGATTTAGAACTCAAAGAACAGTCGGGCCTTACTCAATTATAAATATTTAACTTTTAGAGCCAGATGAAAATCCTTCCGGTGTTCAAGGGATAGGATCAGAACCCGATAATTTGGTGATTATATGGGAGGTAAGTTTTTTAGCCTATAAGTAACATTTTCTAGAAAATAAAAATATCAACTTTAAACAAATTAATAGATGTTATAGTTGGTGCTTGAGACAAAATAAAAATCCACTAATTTGTCTGAACCTTTCCCCTTTCTTAAATAGGGGGGAAAATGTAAATAAATACAGTGAGAAATATACTTTCAGAGGACTGTTTCCTCCTTGGTTAATTAGTGGTTTCTCCATCTTCCTGACAGACTCATTAATTAGGATAACTTGAAGAGTTTTCATGCATTAAGATTAAAATATATACATAGTATCTTAGATCAGTTAGCTTCATAATTTTAGAATGGATTCAGATTTAAATCCTAACTCTTCACTAAGCTTTATTATAAACTAAATTATCATTATACCTTCCTACTTCAAGCTCTTTGTGGATGCATTGTACTGACACTTACAAGGCAATAATTCTGATTCTGTTTCTAAACACAGATTCCCAACTACCCATTACTGCAAAGTCATCTTCCCATATCAGCTTTGAAAAGGTTCCAGCTCTCTGGGAAATGTATTTTATAATAACTTATTTTAGCTCTTTCATAGTAGCTCTCTTCCACGACTGAAGAAAACTGACAACAAGACTATATTTACATCAGTTAGCTTGCATGATTACACCAGCATAAAAATGAAACAGCATAATACAGAAGTTTCAATAGCATTACACTGGTAGAAAACTGGGGGAACCACATGGTGAATCAGGCTCATTTTTACACCTTGGTTCTTCTTTAGAAGCCTATGATTTTGTTATTATCCTGGATTGCTCTTCTTTACAAATGTTATAAAATAAGGTTAATGCATTCATTTCTCTTTTTTTCATTTTAGCCTTTAAAAGGTTTTCAGTCCAATGGACCAGGTCTTCAATACAAAGTCAGTTGGCGTCAGAAAGATGTTGGTGATGAGTGGACTTCTGTTATAGTTGCAAATGTTTCAAAATATATTGTATCTGGTACACCAACCTTTGTTCCATATGAGATAAAAGTACAGGCTTTAAATGACTTAGGATATGCACCAGAACCTGCAGAGGTGATTGGACATTCTGGGGAAGACTGTAAGTTTCTCAGACTGACTGACTTGTGCTAATTAAAAATATCCAAATACAAAGTCACAGATGGATTAAAAAAAGGCCATTGAAAATTTGTGGGAGGGAATTTTTCTCTCATGTAATAAATGAAAATTGTAAACTTCAAATCTTTGGAGGATAGTCAGAGGCTTCATAAACCTCAGCGGTATGAATATTGAGGCCCACTTTCGACAAACAGTTTTAAATGAGCCAACAGTGTGACCCATTCCTTTATGAGTGTATTATCTGTTCATATAGTCTCTGATTATAATCTGGGATTCGTTGCCTCTCTCTCCCACACAGTACCAATGGTTGCTCCAGGCAATGTGCAGGTGCACATTGTTAACAGCACATTAGCCAAGGTGCACTGGGACCCCGTTCCACTAAAAACTGTCCGAGGACACCTTCAAGGATACAGGGTAAGTAACGGTAGAAGCTTTTATATCCTCTTCTATCAAAATAAAATTCTCTTAATGTGTATATGTGTTTGGGAGGGAGGTAACTGCAATTTAAAATGAGTATTTTAGGTTTTTTATTATACCACAATTTTGGTTGATAATTTGTTGACATAATATACTTAAGACAAATATGTAAGGCAATTAACTTATTCCTGCATGGAATTTTGGTTAAAAATAATTATCACTGTGCAAAATCAATATAGCCCATATTACAAGGATTAAAATCTGATTATCTAAGTGTAGCGCCCTTCTCTACCTGGTTACCTCCTTTAATGCCAACCCGTTTACAGGTTTTGATGGACAGGTCTGTGTTCTTTTGGATCCCGCCACCCACTCAGCAGGGTGTATCTTCTTTCATTTTTTCGTATGAAATTATTTGACGGTGCCTCCACCCTCCTCACTCCTTCCTGGCAGGGTCACCAGGGCAGAGTGGGAGGAAATTTCTAACTACAGAGTAATCCCCACTTACTTGCCAGATAGTTGGAGACTTCCAAGAAATAACACAAACACATGAAAATATATTCAACACAATAATTATATTAAACAGGAGACAAATACAACATAACAGGGTGAAACACTATTTTTAGGGTCACCGGTGCCCACACAGAAAATACCTGTGACTTGATGTAGCAAGTGTAAAATTAGTGTCCCGTTGGTATGCGTACTTTGCTGGAGCCCTTGATGACCTATAACCACAAAATTCTTCTCTGCGGTGGTTTAGCAGTGTGGCTGACTGAGTTCAGTACAGCCCAAAGGACTCACAGGTGGGAGGAGGTGGTAAATCCCTTCACAGGTGTAATATGCAGCAGGTTATAAAATCCTCAAACCCTGACTCCCTGGCTTGAGGACACAATTCAGGGAGTAGGGGGTCCCCAAAACAAATTCCCTGACTAACTAACTAAAAGATGGTGCATTCACAAACTCCATGAATGATCTTTGAAGGTTCGAAGATGACACTGGACTCCTCAGTCACTGCAGAGAGGCTGCTGTCTGCTGGCAGGGATCCTCCTCAGGCAGGAATCAGGCTGCGTCCGTCCCAGGATTTCCCCTCACCACAAAGGGGTGCAGGGCTCAAGGTGTAGGTTATACAACTACACTAACATCCACACTGTAGCCACCTAGCCCAGCCTCCAGTCACACACTCAGCAGGCAGCTTCCCTGGACTAACATAGGGTTACCATATTCAAACATTTAAAAAAGAGGACACTCCACGGGGCCCCGGTCCCGCCCCTGGCCCCGCCCCGGCCCCGCCCCAACCCCACCCCTTCTCCGCCCCCATTCCAACCCCTTCCCCAAAGTCCCTGCCCCAACTCTGCCCCCTCCTCTGAGCACCCCGCATTCCCCCTCCTCCCTCCCGCTCTGATCTTGGTTGGGGGTTGCTAAGTGTTTCCCGGCCCCCCCCTCGCCCCGCAGCCCCTGCAGCCTCTATGCCCTTCCCTGCCCTGCTCCTCCTCCCCCGGCAGCCTCTACACCCCCCGCCCCTGCAGCCTCTATGCCCTTCCCTGCCCTGCTCCTCCTCCCCCTGCAGCCTCTGCACCCCCCCGCCCCTGCAGCCTCTATGCCCTTCCCTG